CTCTAAACCCTAAACTCTAAATGCTAAACCCTAAACCCTAAATGCTAAACCCTAAACCCTAAACCCTAAACCCCTAAATCCTAAACCCTAAACCCCTAAATCCCAAACCCTAAACCCCTGATTCCTAAACCCGAAACCCTGAACCTCCACCTTGAACCCCTTACAGTTTCGGGTCTAGGGCTTAGGGTCGAAACCAAGACTTCGTTCCCCAATACCCAACCTCTAAACTTTTTGCGCTCTTATGTTCCAGTAGCCCTAAACCCTAAACCCTAAACCCTAAACCTTAAAGTTCATCCTTGTACTTCCCTGAAATTTTGGGGAAGAAACGAAGACCCCGAGCCCTCCCAGAATCCCCAAGTTCTAGACCGTAACCTCTGTCGACACCAGGGTTTCGGGTTTAGGGTTTAGGGTTTAGGGTTTAGGGTTCAGGGCGTTGGGGATGCGTGAACCCAAGGAGCCCAATCAATTCCCTTTGACCTCTAAAAGCCCTTACCTTTAAAAGCCTTAAGCCCCCTCCCTAAACCCCAAAGCCTTAAACCCTAAAGCCTTAAACCCTAAACCCTAAAACCTGAACCCTAAACCCGAAACCCCCAAACCCTACACCCCAAACCCACTGATCTCCAAAACGTGAAGCTCTTCGAACCGCTGCAAACTAAACCCTAACCCTCAGAGTTCTTCAAAAGCGACCCGAAACCCCAAACACGCTGACCCCAAACCTTTAAAGGGTTTAGGGTTTAGGGTTAATCCCTGAAAAGCGACCCGAAACCCCACACCCTGACCCCAAACCTTTCGGGTTTAGGGCTTTAGGGTCCAGGGCTTACTAAAGCCTCAAGAGAGCCCTTAGAACCCGTATAGACCCTAAACACCAGAGTTTCTCAGAACCCTAGAGTCTTTGAGAGCGAACCTTTAGGGCTTTGGGCTTAGGGTTGAGGGACATTTAGGGTTTAGGGTCTACTGACATTTAGGGTTTAGAGGCGGATAGGGTTTAGTGGCATTTAGGGTTTAGGATTTGGGAGCATTTAGGGTTGAGGGTGGGGGGGGCATTTAGCTTTTAGGTCCTCCAACCCCTAAACCCTCCAAAGAGCATCCAGTCGAGCACCCTCACGCGCGTGGCGACGATTAAGATCGGCAGCGTAACGCCCACGCAGCCATGCTTGCATGATTGGCCTCGAAGTGCCGGGTTTAGGGTTGTGTTGTAGGTTTTAGGGTTTGGGGTGTGGGATGTATCTGATTTGGCATTTGGGGTTAGGCACCCCGAAACCCTGCATCCTACTCAAAACTGCTGACCTCTATAGTAGAATCTCCATTGACTCAAGTAAGTGTGCTTCCTTTTCTTGGTTACCTTGCCTCCCTTCTCCAAGGATCCCAACCTAACCATCAAGTTTCTCAAAAAAACAAGCAACTGTGTAGTAGCCTACACATCCGTCAACACGCACTATTTTGCTTTCGCGCCTTACATACTCCCTATATAGCTATACTACAGCATCACACCTGCAACACCCTATTCTGACTGTAACGAATTGTAAACGCGTCTTTGGGGCTCCGGGCTTCGGCAGCATAGCTGCATCCTGGATATGTTTTCATGGAGTGTTGAGCTTTCTGGGAAGGCGCCTATTCATCCTTCAGGAAGCGCAGGACCCTAAACCCTAAACCCTAAACCCTAAACCCTAAACTCAAGCTCTGCCGCCCCACAACACCTTGAGCTTCATTTGCAGTTTTGGGGGGGGTTCAGGACCGCAAACCCTAAACGCCGAGGTTCCCCAATCGTACCCTTTGCCCTTTCTTTTTGGGGCTCCTCTATTCAAAGCGAAGATAGGAGAAAAAACATTCAGGGGCTACCAGGGAACCTAGACACCCAAGGGCCCTAACCCTAAACCCTTGAACCCTCTAAAACCGAGAACTCTCGGGTGTTTCAGCCTTCTGGGATCCCGGAAAGTTGTGGGTTTTTGGGGCTTTGGGGGTTTAGGGCTTCGGGGTTTTAGGGTTTAGGTGTTTAGGGTTTAGGGGTTTCGGGCTTTAGGATGTTAGGGGCATAGAGTTTCGGGCTTGGGCCCATCTTTCATGAGTCAGAGTCGTAGAGTATGTTTGCAAACGGACGCATGTCAGGTGCTTAGTTGCCCCCTGTGGCTGGCAAGTGGTTCTGACGGCATCGCGGTGTCCTCAGTTTGCACAGATAATAAGATAAGAAGATAAGACTCCCATGGCCGCCGTGGCACTCGCACGCCAAACTATCAACACTAAACCCTAGACTCTGAACTAAACCCTAGTTAACAAGGCCCTGAAAGAACAGTTTCACTCAAGATAGATTAGAAATCATGTGACTGTCTCTCTTGTAGTGCAATGCTGAACCTTCCAGAAACCCCTATGATGGAAGCCTCAAAACCAGGATCTAAGTGTTCTGGCACCCGGGGTATCGGGCTCTCGTTTGAACTGCCACCCCCTAGCCCCTACATTCTAGAACCCGTCAGTAAACTCATGTACAACCCTCCGCAACCGAAAGCCGCTGAAACCCTAGATCCCTGTGGAAGCCGTAACGCCCGAAAGCCCAAAAAAGCCGTATAGAACCCTTACAGAGAGCCGTCACAACGCCCTTACTGAAATCCTAGCCTCATAGCCCTTTTCGAGCTGTACTAGACAAAGACCCCGAAACCCTACACCTTACAATACCTCAACACAAAAAATAAACCTTACAATCGAGCTCTTCTATGGCCCTAAACGTTCAAGTTAACAAGAACCTTACAATCGAGCTCTTCTATGGCCCTAAATGCCATGGCTCCCCTCAAAGGCTGGGGGACTCGTCCTACAGTGGCAGCAAGCCGGCCAGCTGACGGCTTGTGTTTCAGAGGGGTTTAGGGTTTGGGGTTTGGGGTTTAGGGTTTGGGGTTTAGGGTTTAGGCTTTGGGGTTTAGGGATTAGGGGGAGGAGTATAGGATGTTATCTCAGGACTTAGACGTTTGGGGTATAGGTTTAGGGTTTCGTCTCAGACTTTAGGGTGTGGCGGTGCATCAACATTCCAAAAACCATAAACCCAACCCCCCTCAAAGAGCCTCCAAGGGGGGGGGGGGTGTCACTGGGGACCTTTGGGTCTGGGCGTCATGGGTCTAGAAGTTTGGCGCTCTTTGACCTTTGAGGTTGGACAAAGTTTTGAATTCTTTTTGTACTATTCCTCAGCGTTCGTCGCATTCCGACGGCCCTGTTGTTTTGGTGACTTTGGGTTTCAGGACTGTGAGGGTGTCCCTCAAACCTAAACCCCTACAATGACCCTAAACCCTAAGCCCTAAACCCAAAACCCAAAGCCCTAAGCCCAGCCCAATTCGCTAAACCGGGTTGACTTGCGACCGACTCGGGGTTGCAGTTTCTTGGAAGATGTAGCCTCTGAAAGCTTTGTAGACACGAATTCTCTCAATATAGGCTTCTAAAAGGGAAAAGGAGTTTAGGGTTTAGGGTTAAAGGAGCCCCAAACCCTATTCTAAGTATTAAGGCCCCTACATGAATTATGGTGGTTCTGTTTTGAAGCCTTGGCTCCTGATGCCAGATGAACACGTTTTCCACGAAGGGCACCAGTTCAGACAGAGTTTTGGGTTTAAGGCTCAGAGGTGCAAGGCTGTCACGGTGGGGGGGGGGGGGGCGATTGTGTCAAATTTCATGTCCTGCAACCCTCAAACCCTAAACCGCATTGGTATTATGGTGTTCTGCTTCTGTTTGTGCGTTGGGAGATGAGTAGAGTGGCTTAATGATTTGTGCTTGTATGGCTACAACATCTTCGCGGGAAGGACACCCAATACATAGGACTGACGCTACCCAGAAACTCCAAAATCAAAACCGCTTGAAAAACAGCCATTCTTAATATCGTTAAAAGCAAAATCCTTAATTGAGTGGTTTTGGAGTCTCTGGATACAGGGACGACCAATCAAGGACCCTCCCCACATGGTCCGTAGCTCGTTCGCGACGTGCCAGGACCGGGGTGGCTTGTATGTGTATGACCTGAGGTGGCGTCGGCAGCAAGCTTTGAGAGTTTAGGGGGTTTGGGTGGTACAGGGCTTAGCATTCACCGTCCTCTTTCTTGTCACTTTTCAGAGCAAGGAGAGAATAAGAAGAGGAGGAAGAAGACGAAGAAGAAGGAACTCCACGGAACAGCAACCGGAACTGCAGTCATAAACGCAACCACAACCACATCGGCGACGACAACGGCCACTTCTACAACTACTACGTCTTAGTGCTATACTTCCACCTGTTACTTGAGAATTCCTACTTCTTCTCCTGCCGCTCCCTCTCGCCTTTGTTACAGTGCTCCTCACGGCTTTGCACTTGCTACCTTCAATCCTGCTCGTTTAACAGAACTGAGTCTAACAGAACTGAGGATGCTGGCCGACAACCCAGACTCAAAGTGCGCCGCAGAGACTTTCAGTGCGTTCCGGGAAAATGTTGAGTTTAGCTTATTTATTGTTTGTTTTTTATAACTCCGCATTTGCTCATATTCAGTATTTTTATTTGTTTAATGTGTAACATATATATATATATATGCTTCCCCCCCCCCAAAGATCTACCCGAATTGGCTTTCGTCGGAAAGAATCCCCTTAAA